CCTGTTCCTAATAAGCTGTGCCTGTTCCTAATAGGCTGTGCCTGTTCCTATTTTGATGTCTGACTTTTTTTTGTGCGTGTTCCTATTTGGAACTGGATTTTGACCCTGATCCCGCTTTATACACCAATATGTCGCGGTATTACACTGTAGAGCAGAGCAAAAATAAGGACGGAGCAACAAAATGGCCGCTTTCTGAAAGATCCAACCTTTGGGTTATTACTTTTTTTAACATTTTTTTTCAAGCGTCGCTCTCCTTGAGCGAACCTTTAAGCGTCGCTGATTTTCTAGCGTCTCGTGTTGATTTCCATTTTCGCGCATGCCTCAAGCGATCAATATGAAGTTCAGAAGAGGCCAAAGGATGTAATTCGAAACTAGGAGCCATTGCTCGCAAATATCCTTATGTATCACATGTTAAACCATCGAATAGGATGTAGTTATTGGGCGAATAAAATTCAACAGTTCGCCGTTCGGTGGTCAGTTTCGGTGGTTAAGGTAAAGAAAAGTGATGTAAGGTAAAGACAACGTTTAAATGCATCTAAAGAGGCGCTCAGTGGACTAAGTCCTAAACCATGCTACAAAATATATGAAATGCCACAAGTATTTAGAAACACATATATTGTTTTACTGCCTACGTACGAGGTTGGGACACTCCCTTTAGTTATTTGTACGCTCTGCACAGTTGGGGTCAACACTCAAGTTGTAACATGGACAGAGAGAGCAAAACCTATTTCATTCGCTGCCCGGGTAATGAACACCGCTTACATACCGTCATTCACTTTTTCCTCTCTCTCAAATGACGAGTCCTGTTCACTATCCCTTCATCCTCTGTCCATTTTGCTGAAAATATCACGAACTACAGGTTTTCATACATGATTTACTAATTCTTTTTTTAAACAAATGCGTTGATTACATTAAGCTAACTATAGAAGATCCTCGTTATTCTCAACTATTTGTTCCTTTTTTGTTCACAGTTTTTTATCTTTCCTAAAAGCAAGCGAAATAATGGCCACGGGCCGGAGAATCAACGAACGCGAATACTCGCACGCCTCGCTCGTCCTTGCACTCTTGCATCGCACGCTTCTTTCCTGTGGACAGGCAACTCAAGCCCTCCTGCACTCAAGTCTTTTTGAGGTTCCGAAGGGTAACCTAAATATCTTTAAATGGTAAAATTCGACAGTGTAAGCCGCCATGTATTTTAAATTTTGCTGAGCAACCTAGCCGCTTCCCTTGAACAAAACAAAGTCTATCTCCTCTTTTTACCCATTTCTCGGAGGTCTTTTTGAACAATAAGCAGCAGCATTTCTTTGTTCGTCCCAATCGTTTGTGAAGCGCCTTAAGGTTCAAGAATGGTGGCCAGATTACTTCGTTGTTTTCAAATCAGCTGTGTCCAGGAAACCCTTTGGAATCTTAAATCGCGGTAAGTATCAATTTTTTCTAGTGAACTCTTTGATGGCGCAAAGAAAAATTATATAGTTTCGGGAGCTTTCTTGTCTTTTAAAAGAAAGGACCTCCGCGACGAATTTTACTGGAATCAAAGGAAGATCGCACTTGCAATGTTATTTTTCCGTGCAAAAAATAAATTGAGACCATTTTTGACCAACAAAAAAGCATAGTAATTAATTTAACCTGTACATTTTTTTACCCAAGACACCCTTTGTCGAATCATAGTTTTAACATGAAGGTAACAACCAAAATCAGTGACAAAAATCAGTGACAAGTATCTGTTACAATTTTCCTCAAATTTGAATGAGAGTTTGAATTCACAGAAACTTTTTTCCAATGTAAAAACAGTCCAGTGGTTTCAGCACTTTTTTCCAAACTTCTTCAAAGAAAATGAGTGATGGTGAAGCATGCAAAAATTAACCCTAAATATTCACACAGTACAAGGCAATCTTTTGTACCATGATGTTTAGGCCTTTAAATTAGCCAACATCTCCTCAATATCTGCATCTGATGCTCCTTTAGATGCTTCTGCCCGTTGTCCCGTTGGTAATTTACCGGCATGCGCAGAAGGTGCTTCTGCCATCTAAACAAATGAATGCTTGCTTAGTAAAAGGGAATTGATGTAATGTAATGAGTAAATACAATTTGACGATGTCAAACGAAAACAATTTTCATGGTGTCTTGCACGCCTTTCTTTGCCGTTGGAATCAATGCCTGTTGCTGAGCAATTGCTCACCCACCCCTCCCCTAACCAAATAGTCACTGATAACAAGTTAGGGTAAATTTTGGGTAGGGGAGGGATGGGTGCGTGTTTGCTCAGAGACAGGAGGGGTGGGTGCATGTTTGCTCAGAGACTGGAGGGGTGGATCAGGGAATGTCATATGCTGACATGCATCCACTTTTTCTACAGACAATTCTAAGAATAAATTTTGAGCTATTTTATGAATGAAAAAAAAATTATTTGAAACTGATTAAGAATGTAAAGATACATGTGAGGAGGAAGACAAAATAAGTGAGTTCTATCTTCTTCATGAAGGAACCTGATCAAAATAGGAATACATGAAAAGATCATATTTCAGTGGCAGATCCAGACCTTCAGCTAAGGGGGGCCCTGTTTTTTTTTGTGTGTGTGTGTGTGTTTGCATGTACACATGCCAGCTTTTCTTCCTTCTGTAATTTTTTTTCTTATCCAAAATAAGGGGTGGGGGAGCCTGGGGCCCCCCAGGCCCCTCCCCCTAGATCCACCACTATGGTTGACTGGAGGATGAGCTACCATGTTACAAATTGGTATTCATATGTTATTTGCAATTGAGGCTAATGCAGAAGAATGGGATGAACATTTTTAACTTTCTACCATTCTGATTGGACTTCAATGATCACATGATACATTGCCATCATGTGATTACATGTGGCTAACAGACCCTGGTAGTATGTAGCAGTTAAGAATTAATGTACATACTAGGGAGTTGGTTTGGATTGAGAAAAGAACAATGAAACAATGTTAGACGTAGCAATAATGCTTCAGAGCCATTCCACATACCTTCCCAGATATTTCAATGCCAATCTCATCAAGAACTTGATTGACAATTGCATCCTGTTCCTCCTCGTCTCCTGATTCATCTAGTATTGACTCTAGAGTATCACTCACTAGGAAAAAAAAAAACAGAAAGAAGAGAAAATGGCTCAAAAGTTTGTAGATATTTGATGCTGAATATTGAGTTTTCCTAGGTCAACTTCATGGCATCAATGAAGTCTTGCCTTTATCAGACTTACAGCAACAAGAAGCTAGCACCATAACCCAGGTTAAAATCAATGAAAGGTAGTGCACGTTACCCCCTCACATTTTTTGTAAGTTCTCCTCTGTAATTTGCCACTAACCGTTGTTGCTCCTGGGCAGAAAGAGGCCCTGAAATTAATTGCCCAGGCCAAGGTGTCACCACAGACCTTTTGATACAGATTCCAGTGCACACATCATTCCAGCATTATCAGTTCTCCAGCCTGCCAGTCTTTTGGTTCCCATGGCAAGTGGAAAAAGTTTTGGCAATGAAATTTGCAGCAAAAGTTGCTAATTTGTTGACCAGGTCACTAAATGCCACTTTGAAAAAAACTGAGTTTGAGCCCTGATCACGTATTTTACAATGCAGACTTACTAATCCATTGAAAGTATTTTTTAGTATCTTTTTCATCAGGAAAGGTGGACTTATTACAGTTTTTCAAATTAAATGATACTAAATATAATTTGGCCAAAGACAAAACCAAAACAAAACAGCACCAGCTGGCTTCAGAGTCATCTGCCAAGGTGGGGTGCAGCTCAGTTGCTAACATAATGATGACTTCCTAGTCACTTGGGAGAATGCTACTCTCCTTCGTGGCTACCTTCGTGTCAGCTGTACTCCTGCAACATTACTAGTAAGCATTTTAAAAAAACATCAAATGAACTTACTCATTTCTTCCTTCATGTCCATTTTTGAAGATTCCATTTCAAAGTTCCGCAGAGTTTGTTGTAATTGTGCTGGATTCATCTGGGCATTTACATTTCCCATGGTCTACAGAAATATGTAAGTTACAATACAATAATCTGATTAAAAAGGATCATCAAAGTGAAGGGGAAAATGACAGTAAGATTTATAATTTAGTGATTACTCACTTATCATGATATTTTACCATGTTATGGTAACAGAATGTGTAAAATATACCATGTGCAGTATTACACAAAAAAGCTCCTTGTCTTTTAAGCTGTTTAGCTATTCCAGGGTGCTGGTATCCTCTTATTATCCTAATTACAATTAAATATTTTCTTATTGTCTAACACATTCTTAAAACTTGACATAAGGTACAATAAAGTAGTTGTTGTTAATATGCAAAAATATAAACGGATAGCTAAGCAACAAAATATCCCCACTGAAAAATTCAAAATTTGAATTTTTTCTTGTTGTTGAGACCTTTGTCTGTTTCACCACTAAACTTTTCAGCCTATAAGGCTTTTTGTTGGTTACTAAGATCCGAATAATGGTCTTGTTTGTGTTGTTTTCCTCTTTTGTGCATACCTACTGGTAATGCAATGGACACTGAGCTCACATGAGGCCGTATGAAGTATTTTGCAAATTACATGCTGAAACAATTGGAGACTAATAAATCCTTAGTCGTACCTTAGTAGCTGTGGACATAGCTCCTGCCATTTTTGCTGATGCATGCATAGCTTGTGACTGGTGCCCAATGGCCATTACACGGGAACTTACAGTCATATTTTTTGTTTTCTGTTTTCGTAGGTTTACCAGCTGCTTAGCCAGAGTTGTTGCAGCCTAAATGTTCAATGAATTTTCAACAGGGAAATGTTAACTTTCCATTTCAACCAAAAGTCTGAATAATTCTCAATTAAAGATAGTTAGAAAACATTACTAAAATGGAATGGTGTACTGGAAGTTATATCTATCTTGTTTTATGATTTATGAAGCTTGTTACATAGATTCCATGTAGTAAAAGAAAGACTCTTGTAACAAAAATTCTGTGTTTGAGATTTGTTGCATTTGTTTTGTGTTAGCACTACAATTTCAAGAAGTTGTCACAATTAGTAAGATAAGTCTTCACCTAGCTGTGTTTTGCCTTACGGTAGAAAGTACAAGACATTAATGAAAATCACTTTGTAACATTTTATATTGAAAGTCTGAGCGAGTGACATCAAACCTGCTTGTTTCCAAGTCTTGCCATTTTCTTGATCTCTGCTTCCTAAGAGTATAATAAAAGAGAATGAATGACTTAGGGTGATGAAAATATTGACCAATTGGCTGACTAAAGGAACAATTCAATCATTGACTGACTGTCTGTGACTGTTTGACATACTACATGAATGATAGAGTGAATGAATGAGTGAACAACGGAATGAATAAATTAGTGTACCTATAAATAATCAACTGACCTGATGAATGAATGAATTATGGATAAATAACAGTAGAATGGGTACAATTATGAGAGGTAAGGATACAAAGAAAGAGCATGAACTGATATAAAGTCTGCATAAGAGTCATGTGGCCCAATAGGCCAGTTCTTATCTCTGGTTTCTATAGCATGAAGCAACTAGGAATATTTCTACTCTCCCTAGATGGGATGCTAGTCCATCACAGGACTACCTCCCATCATTAAATTCCCCAGTACCCATTTAAACAGCTGGGTGAAGAGAGGCACTGTGAGAGTGAAGTGTTTTGCCTAAGAACACAACACAATGTCCCCAGTCAGGGCTCGAACCCAAAGCACTCGATCCAGAGTCAAACACAATAACCATGAGGCCACTGTGCCTCCAGACAAACTGATATACCCATGAGCATTTTATCTCACCAGCTGTTTTTCTTGCCTCTCAAGAGCATTTTGATCCCTGGCTAATTCCCTCTGTGTTTTGTTCAGCTGCCTTTTCTGTTGCCTCATTTGTTCTTTAATTAAAAATGATTTCAATCAAATGATGCATAAATTCTAGACAACAATTTGGAAAGACAGCATTCAAAATTCTTTTTCAGCATTAAGACCCTTGGGAGTGAATCAATTTCTATTTCTCAATTCTAATCAAGGCTTGTTTCATTTACCAATAAAATGTGGTAACACCGCAATTGTGTCTAACAACGCTTTGCAGAAGAACCACACAGATCACGGCTTGTTTCATTGCCAATGAAACGCGGTAACACTACTATTGTGTCTGACAAAGCTTTGCAGATGAACCACGTAAACAGCAATTTTTTGGTGGCCCCCTTGAAATTTAAGATACTCCACTTTTACAATCCGCATATAAGTTATTTGGTTTAAAATCCTTAATTCTTGAGACAAAAATCGCAATTAAATATCTCACCTGTAGTTTGTATCAGATTTAAAGAAATAATCATGGTAATAATGTAACTGAAAATTAATAGAATGTATCGATCTATAAACAGGCGAACTGGCAAGATTGGTCAAAATTATTATTCCTGCAAACTATGGAAACCATGGCAATTAAATAATAGCCTGATAACGTATATCCGGTGCATCTGTATGAAGCAAGAGCTCGTAAAATATGAGAAACTCTCTCAAAATGGCCTTCAATATAATATTTTATCATGAATATAGCTTGGACTACATCTTTTATCCTCCGACATGACAACCAGAAGCAAATCATATATCCTACCTTTTGGATCCGGTTTTTTCCTAAACATGTTGGAAAGATGGTGATATATTTCTGTCTACAAAAGGCCGGTACGTATTCACTTAGCCAACTTTCCTGGTCGAGTTGGAGTTATACCTCTCATGACGAAACCATCCTCGATGTCAGTTGCCAAAAATAACTCTACCCCAGTCTACCCTCCTCACGAGAAAAAATTTTTAAAAATGTGACGTCATTAACTGAGCTCAGCGATAAATTTGAGTTTTCATTCCCAGTAACAGCTATGTTATTTGTGCGGACAATTCATTCTCGATCCCAAAGTTTTTTTTTTTTTTTTTCAGTGAAAACAAGCTGTTTTAGGGACAAGAATAGAATGAGATCAAACAAAGAACTAAGGAAAGTAAAGGAGTCACTCCTAATAGAAAGCCCTATCGATTTTCTTTTGCCCGTTAAATAGTTTCTCTCCTCTGATACAAGCTAATTCAAAATGAGAGTTTGGGAGTACATGCAATGTAAATTAAGGTCAGAACGGACCAAAAAGTTTTGCCTTTTTTGTCTGGTTAGGTCCCAGTTCTTCGCTTTGTGGACGCAGCCAAGAAAGAAATATCATTATATTGTCAGTGGTTGCTAATCAGTAGGCCTACGAGAACAAAGAGAATAATAGGGGGTGACTGATTTGCATGTTAGTACGTTAAATTTTCTAAATTTTCTCGCTTTATGTACTAACATTAATATCAACCCGCGAGTGCTCTTTGAAAGAGAACTAGGAGAAACTTCGCCGCTTCAAAATGGGAGACCAACAGCGTCCTTCAAGTCCACCACCGACATACGATGAGGCTATGAATGATCGTCCACCGCCGCCATATTCAGAAAATCAGAGCTCATTTGCAGCGGAATCAACGCATGGACAAGTAAGCTCGCATGCAGCAATGCGGGGAAATCACTCCAGAGTTTCACCGATGACTACAAGCCCGGATAATATCATAGTAACTCAACCAGGTCAGCGAGAGGGAAATGGTCAAAGAGAAAGACGATTTTCACGTGAATCGCAGACAGGTGCTGTGAACATAGCACAGCCGCGTAAGAAGCGCTTAGGATGTAACTGTTTATGTTCGGCTTTGCAATATACACCATGTACGTGTGATTGCGAAATATTTTGTTTCAATTGCTTGGGATTGTTATCTTACCTACTCCTTTGCGCTCCTGGTGTTTATTTATGCTGGGGGTGCAAAAAAACTTGCCCAGAAACTTTCGGCAATTGTTGTACCAGGGAAACGAGGTTCATGGACAGTTACGACGATCGTGAAGATAGCATAGCTGCTCGAATATGCTGGTTTTGCTTTGGACCGTGTTGTTGTTTCACGTGTGCTGGAGACAGTGAGGTTTGCCCACTTTCTGATATGTGCGTAAACCGATGTGGTGTCCGCGCAGTTTTGAAGAAAATGACGTGTTACTGTGGAAGTAACAAATTGTGTGAATTCAACTTGAATTTCATGGACGAACAAGCCGTTGGTTTTATATGCGACTATAGGGAAATGGGATGTTTATGTGCAGACACTTCGTCAAACTAAGAAGCAAGAATGTAGGCAGCTTGAGATTCCCTAATTTATTGCAAAATATCTCTTCGCAAAATTAGCTCCTTAGTTGTCTCAGTCCTTAGAAAATCGAACCAACATGAATTGCGAAATTATGGATTTCAGTATTTGTTCAATTTTTCGGTGCAATGTGCTCTGTGCTCAAGGAAGGAATTTTTTTCCAGGCAGAGAGGTCAAAAGCTTCCCCATCTTAACGCGAGAGAACTGCTTGAGACGGTCACGTTTGTATTTTCCTGATTTGAAGTTCATTTATTTGTTTAAGCAGGTTGATTAAATGGCAGCTGTAATAGCTGATGTGGACCTGCTGTCCTAACCCACCCATCCCACCCCATGGGAGGACATCCATCACACAGTAATCTCGTGTGTGGGAAATTAACGTCTCCTGCCCCAACCCTGCACGAGACGCGACCTCCATTTATTCGTCCCTATCCGAGAAGACTAGAATATCTAACCATTTCTTGATGTTATAGAAAGGTAGCAAATTCTTCTCAATTATTTTAAGACCTTGAGTGTTGGTCCGGCCGGGGCTCGAACCCTCGACCTCCCGCACTACAGTCCAGCGCTCTATCCATTGAGCTAACCGGGAGGTTATGACGGAAGTGCTGCTTCAAGAAAGCATAACGTTAGTCAACAACTTGAAATGGGATAAATCTTATTTTTGTCCACAGTATCGACGCCACAATTAAGTAAGGATGGGTTCTAAGTATTTACAAGGACTCTTTTATTAAAAATTAGCTAAGTTAAGGATAAAACAAAAAGCCATGTCACTGTTTACTACTCCTTGGAATGTCACGCAACGCTCCCCAAAAATTTGCGTAATATCCCAAGAACGGCTGAAAGGACACTACCAGTACTTTATTTGTTTGATTGTTTTTTTTTTTTATCTCCCTCATAACTCTCTTGTTTGGACTCTGCTAAAGCGATAACGAAAAACGTTATCTCCAGAGTTTGGTTTTCTAGCTTATTCTTTTTTTCTGATTCTTCTGAAATTCTCTTCCCTTCCCCTTTCTAGCCTTTCTGTGTTTCTTCCCTCTTCTTCCTTATAAAATAATTTTATTCTTTACCGAGCTTACTTGAAGTCCAATATTCTCTCTTGCCAGCTTAATAGCCAAATTAGAAGGCCAGTTATAAAAGGGTGAAGATTATACCAGAAGCTTTTCCTCCCACCCCTCCCCAATAAGACCTAATGCGACCGAGGGAGAAACGGGCACTGAAATAGCGTATCGTCGACTCCTTCAAGATGGCGGATCGCTGGGGTAGATTCTCTTATCCCCACGGGCCGAGTCCCACCGAAGAAAGTCTCAAAATGTAGGTAAAGGCTATTATTTTTATAGAGAAGTGTTCTTTATCAAATATTCCCTTCTTGAGTGTCGTTATCAGCGCGTATTTCTTCAACAATGAAACACTGTAGGCAAAATATGCTGCCCAATACAAAGCGACGGGAAGGATATACGCACCCGAAGACTGCGCTGCTCTTTTGGTGAGTGAAATTTCTGCAAGATCTCTAATAATAGTAATAAAACCTTTATTTAGACACGATAATGTTTAAAGCTGAACAGCTTGTGGGGTCGTGTGGGTGTGTAAATCCAAATAAACTCTAACTTAAGTAAATTCAAATTATGATGGTTTTTTAGGAGAAGGGAAAACCGGAGTACCCGGAGAAAAACCTCTCGGAGCAGGGTAGAGAACCAACAAACTCAATCCACTTATGACGCCGGGTCCGGGAATCGAACCCGAGACACATTGGTGGAAGGCGAGCGCTCTCACCACTACGCCAACCCTGCTCCCCTATCGCTTTCGTGATTTAACTTGTATTGGTTGACTATCCAACTGTCCGACGCATCTAACAGTATACTGGCGGTATCATGTGATAGTGTTACAAAACATTTCACGCCACAGAACCAGTGAAAAGTTCGGACAGCTTTGCGAGCCAATTTCATGTACAGAACTCACCCTTTTATGGTGATGTCAATTCTGAAAATTCGTTTGTCTATCTCTCATGTCCAGAAAGATCCAGCGATTGAAAAGTTTGGTTGGATCAGAGAAAATACCGACCGATTCTTTAAGTTCAAGCCTCGAAGTGTGCGTAACGCAGTGATTTGGGCCCTGCTTATTCCTGGTGCTATGCTCTATTTTATCAAGAAGACTCCGGTATGTCAGCTTTCTATATTAACATAACTAAGAATGTCAATGTGAGTCATCAAGGCATTATACTTGCTTGCGCAGGACTCCAAATTACGATCGTTTTGGTCGCCTTCGTGGAGAAAATAGTTTTTGGACCTGAATTTGAAACAACAGTTGTAGAGTTTGCATGTTGTATGTTGTGTTACTCTTATTACACAGTGCCTATGGTCCAAAATTAATTAAATTGATTTTCTGTCGCAAGGAAGGAAAATAGACTCTTCCTCATTCTCCTTGTGGTTATGTATTAAGTGCCCTGGTTTCTTGTTTTTGTGACTTTGCTTTGTAGACAAAGAAACTAATGCTGAAAATTGGTTAATCATGCAGGCATAATTTTTTTCGCTAATTGATCACCTCATTACTTTTTCAAGGTATCGCAGGGCATTACAGTATTTTATTGTAAAAATTAGTAATTCAAATTTCAGATTAATGATGTTTTAACCTGTGTGAAAACATTCCTCACAGTAGTAAACCCTACTTATCCAGTAGTTGGAAATAAGGCCTTATAGATAAGTAGGGTTTATTACTGCAAGGAACGCTTTCATACATTTATGAAACCGTAGTACAAATATATGATTTTCATATATTCAAAATTCGTGTTTTAACTTTTTCCTTGTTTCATTGCAGTATCTTAAGCCTGAGCACTCTGTAACAACTCTCAGTGAATGAGAGCACGCTTCTTCAATTGGGGAATTCTGCATCAACACCCCCTCTTCTTTCCTGAGTGATATCAGAGCAAATATTGTCAATGTGATTATCTGGTGTAAATAAAGTTTACGAACAAACTGATTTGTTCTTGTGTCTAGTTGCTGTCAGTGGCAATGCATTTGAGATTCAGCACAAGTTGCTAAACTTTGCCCCAGCTGCCTATCTGAAACAACAGGTGCTTCATTTAAAACAGTTCCAATGCTAGTATTAAGAGAAGTTCCTAAAGAGAAAGGATCTTGTGTTCAAAACCTGTTTGTAAATCCTATGAAAATTGTCCTTCAATTGGCCAAGATGGAGGACTCAGTCATAACAGGAGTAACAATGGTGGCAAGCTAGCCCAAAATGACAGAGATTGCCATAAACCACAATGCACACACAAAAAGTTAACAAGTGTTATTAATCTTCATATTTTGGAATATTTAGTGTTCTAAATCTACCATATTTCGTTCTCCATAATATTTCTTATGGCACATTCAAATTCTCAATGGTTACTTAACACTGAGCCACACAATTGGTGACACTTTCAAGAATTAATCTTTTGCTTTTCCTTTGAGACGTAACCCGGGAATGCCTATGTATAAATGAGCTCGGCCTCAAGTAGATTAACTTGTCTTCAAAACACTTGTTGTTTTGAATTCGAAATATTTTCCTGTAGTTAGTTCATCATCACAGTTAACATGCTTTATCTTGAACTCAACGAACTTTCTAAACGACTCAGTCTTCTTTGTACACATATGATTTCTACCCACCCCTCTCTTACATGCTTCTGAATGACTTTAAAGTGGACAAGTCGAGGATGCAAGAAGCTGGGTCGAGTTATACCCAGCTGTCTTTGCGAAACGCGAAGGTGAATGATTTGCCTGTTGCCAAGATAATCACCAAAGTTGCCCGTCCCTGGAGGCTACAATCAACGTGTTGAATTCTCTTTTGGAATGAATATAAACATCCACTGAACCTTACGATGGCGGAGTCATTATATTTGCATCCTTTGGGGATCTTATGAGGATGTAGCATGTTAAAGGGCGCTTATTCGTATCCTTTTGGGTGTTCGACAGTTTACTGCATACAAAATTTGTTTAACTTTCTTGTTAAGGGAAAAATCCCAAGGGTTTGATTGATTCGTTTCTCCTCTTGAGGTATAACCAATTCGAAGTTGCCCGAATAGATAACACGAGGGAGGGAAAATTACGATTTTATTCCTTGGTCTTTTGACAATTGTGAGACAACGTTCATATGTAACAGTAACATGTAGATCCAGTGTTTTAGCTGATTTGTTACCTCTGTATAAATCGGCTTCTTTGTGTCTTTCAGAGATAATTTGAAATCATGTCATTGTTATAAATTGTAAGGTTAGTTTTAAATCTAATCAGGGTATTCTCGTAGCTTTCAGACGAATGGTTGACCTGTTAGCTTACCTATGATGTCAGTAGACCCATGCCTATCGCGAGTAATTAAACTTGAAAGTGCATTCTGTTAACATGCATGGAGTCAAGAGCAAATCATCTTGGACAACGAGTTCTTTTTTCACTTTGATATGCTTAATCAAAAACAAAGTAGCTATTATTTAAAACAGTTATTGTTAGTCAATAGTAATAAAATTCACTCTTTCTCCCTTGAGGGTAAAATTAAAACAGTAAAGGCTGGCAATTAGAAAGTCACTATTGTAAGCCCTTAAGATATTAAAAGTAACCCCAATATTTAAAAGTGGTAGTGTCTCTGAGTTAGGTAATTATAGACCAATAGCAGTTATTTCTCCTTTCAGTAAAGTTCTGGAAAGACTAGTATATGACCAGCTTGTGTCCTATTTAGAAAAAGAATGTCTACTTTTTAACTATCAATTTGGCTTTCGAAAGGGATATTCCACAGAATATGTAATGTGTTTCCAGTGTCTCTTTGGGCTGTTACAGATAATTATTCATCCAAAAGTTAGACTCATTAACAATTAATACAAGTAGCTAAAGATGACAATCTTTCGTGTCCAGCTGCATATTATTAGTTACATTGGTTTTAAAAATGAAGATTAATACTCAAAGGTTTATAGTATCCAGTTTAGCAGTCACTGAGTACTGTTTTTTTTGCTGGTCCTTAATCTCTGTGGTTTTCAAGAACCAATTACCACTTTTGTTGATCTGACTTTCTTGTTTTTACAATCAGATTGAAAATGCTTAACTACTGGTTAGCAGAATAAATTTAACATACTAGGTTGTCAAACTTTCAGACAGATAGGATTTGATTTTTAGTGTGATGAGAGAGTAATTTAATATTTTTATGCATCCTTTTAAGTCTGATTTTTTGTGTGCATGTATTTTATTTAATATGGCAACCATCTTTGTATTGTGTGGAACAACTTTTGCTGTAACTTTGCCTTCTAAATTATGCCCTTAATTTTACCAAACAGTGCCTAATTATGAAGCATCTATTAACAAAATCAATGGTGCAAGGTATTAAGAACTAATAGGATCTAATTTTTTCTAATTTTGAACTGGAAAAATTTGTGTAAAATTAATAAGGATACATCAAAGGAAATGTGATGTAATTGTTGTACATGATAAAATTACAGACATTAGGCTTTGTTTTCACTCTCAGTTCTTCCAATTATCATGGAAAAGACAAATAAGGGATATGTAATAACTGTTTAGCCTTACATGGCCAAGGAAGATATTCCCAAAGACTTTGTTTAATTTGTAGACTTTGTACACTCAGGGGAACAATAGTTGTTAGTAGCTTCATTTTATATTTACATACATTGGTATTGGCGCATAGCATGTTTTCTTTGACTATGGTGTAGTGACAAATTTAAAAGCATCCAGAAAGAGCGATTGGAAAAATTCAAAGAAGAACAAAAGGACTCTCTGAAATCAAGAAGTGACAGGACCAAGGAACTTTCAAAGGAAACCAATCGTCGGAGAAAGTAAGAATATATGAATTAGCCATTAATAAGGGTTTTCTGTGGAACAAATTGATTTGTTTACAATAATGGCAATACCACATTACACTTTGTGCTGAAGGTACCTGTAGTACTGCCAGTGACATTGTTGTCAATAGTACTACAATTTTTATACTAAAAATACTGCTAAAGAATTGAAATAAGCTGCATGACTGTCACCTCTACTGATATTGCTTCATGACTGACTGTATATTAAGAAAATGTAAAATATTACGACTTCTGAAGCTAATTGCATTTTCAATCGTTGTTAAAAAAAAGTTGTGTTGAAAATTTTTCCATTTTTTTCCAAATTTTGTGAAACAGTCCATGCATAAGGCATCTTTGCAGATATTGTTTTTCAATGTTTACACAGTTATGCTGTTTCAAATGTTCACACAATACACAGCAAACTTTTGAAACTCATTCTTTTTTCTGTGATCAAGGCTCAAAAGTTTGCACCCTCTGACTCCTAAGAGTGCCTGGCATCGAGTTTCTCCTTTCAGTGTGAGCCTTGGATCACATATCATGATGACAAGAAAAAAGGAAAAGATCACAAACTAAACTCTTGATTATTTAATTAACAAATTGTAGCTGTTAGGACTTTAGGGAATGTAAGAGGGAACAGTATAGAGAATATTCATACTTCTGTTAGAGAGTAAATGGTTATTAAAATGTAGTTTCTTTTTTTTTCATATTACTTAAATCTAATGATTACACCATCACCATGTTTTAGTGTGATCTTTTAGTGTTAATGCTTATGCTTTACAGTCTGTTTTCAATTTGTAAAAACAAAGTATTCTTAATGGTTTACCACAAAAGTAGATAAGTGTATCACTGACCAGTGCTCTGGTTGGAGCACAGAAGTTTTTCAGGGCACATTGTTGAATGATGAATGTGAATTCTCCTTAGAGCACTTGAGGAAAGGAAAAAGGAACTGCAAAACAATGAGGAACAATTAAGAGACGAAGTCTTGTCCAAGAGGAAACAGGAGCAGCAAGAGGCAACACAGAGATTTCAAAAAGACTCTTTACAAAAGAAGGCACTAAAACAACATGATCTTGTGAATGGATATAATAAAGGTACACCTTTCAACAGTAGGTTATTGTAATTAATTAGCTGTAGAGTAAGACAGGTAGGTACTGCCCCCTGGTAAGCTCATGTTGTAGAGTGCCAAACTGCTGTGTTGGAGGTCAAACACTCAGGGTCTTAAGAGGTGCCTTTGATATGACATTTGCAAATGGTTGGACATTCTAGGTTTCTCTCATACAGATGAAAAACTGTATGGCCCCATCTCCTCCATACTGGTTAGCAGGGGGTTTTAAAGCAACCATACACTTATCGCAAAGAGTAGAGAACATAGCTCCTGGTGTTGTGGTCTGGCCTTGATTCTGAAATTGGGGGCATCTGCAAAAATATTCAAATAATAAATTCGTTTATCATCCCTTATTTGGGTTATTACCTACTGCAGTCACAAGAAAATCCCAAATAACATGTAAGCCTCTGAGCATGCTCTCTCACAAGATGCAGGAAGAAGGAGGGTTGGAAAGAAGAAAGGTAGATTAGATAAGATAATGACTTTATTGGATAACACAATTACTGGTAAAACCAGTAGTTCTCATAGTGGTCCATTAACACTTCATATAGATGCTCATTAAAACCCTTTACCTCAAAAGTGACAACCATTTAATTTCTCCTTACAAAGAAGCTCTACACAAGGTCTTGGTTGTTACTCAAATTCTCCTTGTCAGCACTTTAGAAAATGTATTGAGAACAGTATGGAGAATATGCATATTGATGTTTGGTTGTAAAGGGGGAGTGATGACTAAATGTTTGTCCTCGACTCAGCTAATTTTGGTTTCATTCAACTGAATTGATAAATGTAATTTGGCCACTGTGAAGAGCTTCAAAGCTGACGTTTCAAGCATTCGCCCTTTGCCTTTCACTCTGACGAAGGGCTAACGCTTGAAACGTCAGCCTTGAAACTCTTTATCAACTCGGTTGATAAAACTAAAATGGTCTTGTTACTCCTACCGATGCAGCACCACAGTTTCTTTAGAAATTAACCCCCTTTACTCGATTCATGTAGCTGTATTAGTCACTGTTATATCTTAGCTGTAATTTTCTTTCATCAGAGCCAGTTTCTGTTGTTCGTGATGGTCACTATGTTGTGCGGGGCCATGTGGTAGAAGTGAAGGATGGAAAGCAAGTGCCACGTAGTGCTGCAGTAGATTCAAAAAGACTTCACGAAGTTGGATTAGAAGTTTGGGGAGATGAAATGCCAGACAATTACGATTTTGAAAGGACATACAAGGATTTGTCATACAATCGTGCAAATAGTGGAATCCTGTATGCAATGAATGAAGAGGTAGCTCAGCCATTATATTATGAAACTGATGGAATGGAAAATGGGCCTGTTGGTGACTCATGGACACTAGCTCAACAAGAAAAGTTTCGAGCCGATGCCATCGCTAAAAGTGGACCAAAGCTGGCCTTCACCAAGGACGAATCTCAAAAGGACCCTCCTGAAGGGGCTCTGCCGTGCATTATGGGCAGGGACTCTCCAGGAGGGAGTGTCACTAGCTTAGATAGCTTAGACGAAGTCCCTCAAGTTGCAGGGTCTGGAATAGAGAGGGAACTGGGAGCCACCAGTAGGACGGGTATAATGGCCAAAAGAAGTAAGGAAGTCAAATCTGCTGGTAAGAGACGGGTCACATTTTCTGACAGCATTGAATTTGACGATGGTGTTACTGGTCAGCTTGTTACAGAGGAGAAGCAAAGTACCAAAGTTTACACAATGTTGTTTGCTAGAAATGCAAACAATTTTTACAACACGTCTATATCAAATTCTTCATCATCAGCGGGACACTCTGGTACAAACCACAAGGGAAACAAGTCGGCAGGGACGCATGTAACATCTGTGAATGAAAAGCGAACAGAACAAAGTCCCACCAGTTCAGTTCCCAGTGTAGTCAAAACCTTTGAGAAAGATTCGTCTGTGGTAGCTACCTTTGGAAGAGACTCGTCTGTGGCGACTGTTACTCATTGTGATCACCCAAGACCTAGACCAGTTCCTCTGGATATTCAAGCGAACAAACCTGAGAAAATGCCTGTGCAAGTTTCTTCCAGCGAGTTGAATAGTGTAAAAGACTCAGGGGAAGCCAGTCATGTAGCTGATGCTATGTGTGATTCAGAGCTAAATGACAGTTTGGAGGTTGTTAAAGATAGCTTAGATGTTAAAGTTGATCGCGCAGAGGATGTACATGGTCTGAAAGATGAAGGAGACAAAACATGCCCAGCAAGCAGTTCAGAAAACTGGACTTCTTCTTTCTCGACATCGATGATGAAAGATTCTTTACAAAGGTACGTGGAGAGCACATCGGAAATCCCCACTGAAGAATTTGCTGAAAAGTTTCCGTCCAATGAGGATCGTGTGGCAGAGGAGATACCTGTTTATTCAGAGCCAGTTCATGTAACCGAGACACCCGTTGTCACATCGGAATATCAGCATCACCGTCCATTCCATAATACTGAAATTAATTCTGTAACAACGTATCCGTACTATCACCGTCTCAGTTCACAGGTTGCCGGTGGTGTGCAATTTCCTGCCCAAGGAACATTCCATCCCAGTTTCCCTTACCCTTTTTATACCACTGTAGGTTCTGCGTTAATGGAAGAACCCGAGAAGCATGGAATCGAAAATACACCTGTTTCAAAATCTTCTCACACAACCACAACAAACTTTGGTAATGTTCAACATGCTCTTAACCCATCTGACCATCAGAGAAGACCTGCTACGGAAAGCGTTGTTCCGTCTTCATCGAAAGTTACCCACGCAGCAAACACAGGCCATGCATTTAGCAGTCAAGCCAATGATATCCCAAATAAACCTGCCAGCACTGAGTGGGTTGTAAACATTAACGAGGCAGATAAAATGTCGTCCCCAAAAAAGGTCTCATCGTCACCTTCATCCACGGCATCAACATCCCCTTCGGGTGTCAAATCTACCAGATCTTTTATCCCCCGACCTCCTTCCACGAAGAAATCTGGCAAAAGTAGGCTTCATCCAAGTGGTCTTCACAGAAAGCAAGCTTCTGCTCGTCCACGGAAAGGAATCCATAACCATTCTATTGTGTCAGATAGGAGTCAAGCTGAAAGGAATTTGAAGGCAAGTGCGAATCGGAAGAATAGCCCAGTAGAACGAGCAACTGAAAAGCAAAACTTGGAAACCAAAAGATTAGAAAGTAAGGATGGGAAAGAAAAGGCTTATTTCAAACAGCCAAACAACGGCAACAAGCATAACGCTTCCAATCAGGACGGTATCATGGAGAGCATTAAACGTAACATGGAGATGATGAACTTAAGAACGAGGACTACAGCTGCCCAGGAACAGCACCAACGAATTCTTAACTCGCTGAGGCTGGAGTTTGGTGATGGCAAGAAGGTGCAGCAGGAGTCTGTGCACTACGGTGTGGAGAGTCATGAAGATCTGATGCATGCAATTGAGCATCACACCAACACACAGGATAGAGCCGCTCGAAAAGTCCACCATCCTCGGATAGGATCCGCTGGTTCACGAAATGGTGCAAGACTCTCAGCTGGTACAAGCGTCAAGCTGGATCTTGTAGACGATGGCAGTTACCAAGCAGGGTTTGATGGGTATCCCAACAGAGGTAAACCAGATGTGAAGAGGGCCATGCCTTTCCAAACAGTAACCAGTGGTGCAACGAAAGAAATGATGCAAAAGGCTTCATCTGGAATGGTTACGAATCAACAGTTCACTGAAGAGGAGAGAAGGTATGAATATCATGCATCAACAGTCGGTGAACCAACAACTACAACTATAACAAGCCAAGAAGGCGAAGGGCCTTTGCAGGCGAGAACTAGCACTCGATATGAACGAGATGACACCGGTGTGAAGAGGTCCATATCCCTGGATAAGACACCCACGGATGAAGAAATCAATCACCTCTGGGCCCATGTTCGGTCTTACCTCCACGGTGGGAATACAAAATCCGTCGGCTCAGACTCGTGCGTCGACAAAGTTAACGTACGGCGTTCTCGCACTCGCTCCAGCTCTACGCGACAAGTTCACAATCCACAAGTTGTCCCACAGCAGAATCCAGGTGGCAGCCGACAGCCAAATGGGCAACACCTCGGTGTTCCTCCTCAGACTGGGGGCAGTACACTCGGTGGACTTCGGCGGTACGGCTCTCATGAAGTCCTTAGGAGGGACAGCTCCTCCGACAGTCTTTCGTTGAAGAGGTCACCGCTCTTGCAACATCGTGCTTCAAGAAGCAGACGCCCACAGATTCACGCCCATGGCCAAAATAGCCGACCACCATTGCCGAGACCGCACGAATATAATCCGTCGCCAAGCCAGGCAGGTCCTACTGCCTCAGTCTCATATAGAGGTGGGTGTGAACGTTTTAATTGGATGCTTCCACTCTCTTTCATTTGCTTGCAGTATGGCTAGAGGGAATTCAAGAATCTCTCAGGCATTTGGGTACACGAGAGCCCCTAATAATTGAGATGTAGAACGGTGAGAACTCCACCTCCAAGACAACTGAACCTGATTTGTTTGTATCCGTGTTTCTTTGTAGTTCCTGGTCCGCAACCATTATCGCCGGCTGAGATGCACGCTGTTATGATGGCTTCGGAGAAAGAAATGTTTCACAACAATCAACAAAATGCATTTGCCGATATTTCTCCTCGTCAACAGTATCAAGCAATGATGAGCGGTACCACAGGTCAGTGCCTGGTCTGTCTGCTTCAATGTTTCTTTTTAACATTTTTTTGTGGCTCTGACCTAGTTGCGAAATGGCTCTGTACTGAACTTGTGCTAGTAGGTGTTAATGATTATCAAGCTATTTGAAAACTAAAAAATTAAAATTTCTACGATTATACTTCAGCTTTTTTTCCCTATGTTTTGTGCAGGTCCAAGTGCTCTTTCATTGGAAGAACAGAGGTTGTTACAGTCGTTGGATCGATTAAATGAAAGGCTAAAAGGTATCAGTACTATTTACGTTATTCATGCCTCGTTGTATATCAGTTAGTTATAAGTCGGTTAGTTTTGATTGGTTAGTTTTGATTGAAAAGTTTGTTTGGTGGCACATTTGCGTTCGGTTCAACACTCATTTCAGTTCCCTGTCAGGCAATCCACCCATAAGTCGAAAGAACTTCACGAAGGTTAGGTTTCAAATAACGTTTGCTCCCTCTTTGTTTGTTCCTTCGTGCGAATTGTAGGCAAGACACATCCCGCCGTTTAACGAGAAATCTAGTGAGAAACAGGCGGAATTAGTCTGTCCCAGCAACTCTACCCGTGTTGTAAACACTACTAAAGACCTGTTCCTTGACCATAAAGGATACCCATCATGATATTTTGCGAGGTTTATCTCGCAAACAAAACTTTCTTTAACTTGAAGGAGTCCAGAATATATCAACTTGTAAAAACACAAAAAAAGTAACAGCGGAAGCGCTCGTTTGTGTTATGTGGTTAGATATCAGCCGTGAATTTCGATAAAAAGTGTAGCTGGTCGTCGAAAACAACAACAACAAAAATGCTAAAGAGAAGTGGGACAAACGTAGAAGGAACTGGGTTGAATTGAGGTGAGGAAGATTTGAAGGGGATGCAAACCAGCAACTTGAAAAATTTCTCAATATCACAGACTGTGACTTAGTGCTCTTGTCCTACTCCCTAAAATGTTGTGATTCAAATGTGACCTTGATTTATTTCATATATGTAAAGCTCAAGAAGAAGTCACGAAAGCCATTACTCAGAAACCCCGGATGAATGACAGTGTATTCCGAGGGCCACAACAGGTATGTCATGAACTGGTCGTGTAAAAAAACTGCTGGATCTTCGCGCCAAAATCATGGGGCTTACGTTATCTCGCAGTTTGATGAGGAGCTTTCTCTTTTGCTTCGTAAACTAGTCGGTCAGGAGAATGAATAGTAAGGAACGAATAGTTAAGAATAATTTTGATTATCTATGAAACTCGCGGTCGCAGTCACTTTTATATTTCATGAGTTCCATGTGGCTCAGTTTACAGATCAACTATCAACTGACTGCGAAATCAGATCTGGTTCCTCTTCTTGGAGACTCAGACTTCTTGGGCTGCCTCTCTTGTAGTCTTAATTTCCGTTATCGTCTTGAGTCTGGTCTGACAGTGGCTGGTAATCGATGCAAACGCTCGTGACTACGTGACTACGTGACTAACGTTTACCAGTTAATGTTTGTTACCCATCACCAGTTTCATCTACATCTACATTTATGATTAGTCGATAAAATCGTAGAGATATCGCACCAACTATTGCACCAACTAGTTTGAACTGTGAAAACTTCATATTTGTCGTCATAGAAAAAAAATAAAAAGTAGACTGTCATCTTTGAACAAACTTGTATTCATTTTTTTTTTTTATTTATTTTCATCATTACTCAGTTTTTATTCGATTTTATTACTTTTAGAGTTCTGCTGGTCCTGGGACAAGAAGGACACAGACTAACCAGAATTCTACAGCCAGAAATTTCCTACACACGAGATAACGTACAGAGAAAGCAGTTAGTCTAGAGGACCACGGCCAACTTGGTCAGTCGTGATGGAAGATCAAATTCCACTGCAGAGGCCACAGATTACACCCAATGAAACAGGGTGGGCTTTTGAATAGTAGAAGAACCTCATTGAATTGTTACCCCTCGCCTCTCTCCTGCGTTAGTTTTTGTTAATTTAGATTTCATCTGGATCTCTTTCATGACGGGCGAGATTAATGTTCCTTTAAGATAATGCGAAGTAGCATCAGATTGAAAGTTCTATCTATTTAAACATGTTGCCGAGGTCAGAAGGACTGAGGTACACAAATATAAAAGAATAACGATCAAACCCGCCATTTATGAAAGAGACAATTTGAATATATCAACAAAGTTGAAATGGTAAATTGCTCACCGTTACGATTATAAAAGCTGACGTTTCGAGCGTTAGCCCTTCGTCATTCGCTCCGACGAAGGGATAACGCTCGAAACGTCAGCTTTAATAATCGTAACGGTGGCCAATTAACCATTTCAACTCTGTTGATATATTTAAATTATTTCGTTACACCCACCGACGCAGCCCCAAACAGTTTCTTTAGTCATTCGTCATTCTCGTCATTCGCTCCGACGAAGGGCTAACGCTCGAAACGTCAGCTTTTATAATCGTAACGGTGGTCAGTTTACCATTTCAACTTTGTTGATATATTTAAATTATTTCGTTACCCCCACCGACGCA